CTAAACACTGGATTATTCTATCATTTATCACACTGCAGGATATATAAATTGAACTGTTACTAAAGACCAATTATCCTCTAAAGTTATGATTCCACATTTTCTGGCAGGGCTAGAATTTTTAGAGATGTAGGTTTAGATGAAGGACGCCAGCTGTGTGTTCCTGTTTGCAGCTGGAACCATGAGGCGTTCACTGACCCACCTGGATGTTTTTAAAGTCCACAGTGACGTTGCAGAGCATGCAGCCTTTTTTGGACTCTCTGGACAGATTCTCCACTTTTAGAAGCTACACAGAAAGACATCCCGTTATTACAGACTCGTATTGCAGCCACATAACAATCTACCAGTGTCTGTCTTACAGCGTCATCTTTCGGCAGGACTTCAGCGGATGTGAGGCTCCTGTGTGCTGCACAGAGAAAACAGCAGCCCGTTCACACTGACAAATGTTCCGTTTCAACAAACTGAGGCTTTATAGCTTACACCGCGGAAACCAGTTTAGACTGACAGATACTCACATGTGTTCCTAGGGAGATAGAAAATAGCCTTTAGCCTCTGGAGCCCTCTCACGCACAACATTTTGACCTGACACAGGACAGGAAGAAGCTCCGGGACGACGGTAAACGCTGGCAATGTCACTGTGGTTCCGAGCGACCACATTTCCAGTTTTAATTAAAATTTATAAAGGTAAAAACCTTTTTTATGTTAACATTAAATATAATGGATGTATGTCTTTTTTAATATATATTTTTATCAATAATTTCCATCAATCGATGACGATGATTGATAGATTATATATATTATATATAATTAATTTATAACGATCCGTGTTTGCTCATCCAAAAAGACAAAATAGAAAACTTCCCCACAGTTACAAAGGTTCAAACAAAAAACACCCTGTGTTAAAAAAAATATATTTGCAGAGAGAAATTGTGTCTGTAAAACATTTTAAATTAATATCTATAGTAAGTGGGAAATATATTGAAAACGAAATATTTTTAATCACCAAAATCTAACCAGTTACAACCCAAATAAGTTTGATTTACCTTTTAATCTTTAATTAGCTATGTTTACGTCACTGGGTTGTCCATCAACACATCAACAACAGCACGATTAGTTTGGCAAAACACCGTCCGTTCCTCCAATAATCATTGTAAGAGAAACATGTTATTTTTAGCGGACATATGAAAACGGAAGTGACGACAGATTTTCGTCTGTTTCGCTCTGACGTCAGCAGTTATCAGTTTGAATGTGCTGAGCGGTTGTTGCATTTTATTTATACTTTCAGGCTATAGCTGCACAGTTCCAGTTACTGTCCTTTAACTTTTTAGAAGGGTAGTTTTTTAAAATGTTATTGCCGTTTAGTTTGTTGTGGGAACAAAGTGAGAAGTGATTACAGCTAACTGTAGCTGTCTACACCGCATGTTGTAGCGTTCTCAGTTCATGTCAACTATTTTTCCGACAGGCCGGAAGCAGACAGTTATTGTCGTGTATGCTCCAGAGTGCCTCAGATGCGTTAGTGACACCGGGCCCAGTCAGGGATGAGCTGCGGGAGGCTCCACGTCAAAATTAAGCGAGTGTGCGCGAGGAAGAGATCCCAAAATGTTTTTAAGACTCACCTGATCCCTGTCCGAAAGCAGGGGAGAGGAGGAGGAAGAGAAGCCGGGTCAACGCCATGCCTCCTTTCCAGGAGGAGCAGCACCACCATGGCAGAACATAGAGCTGTGGAGGTACCGCGGGGTTCTGTGGGATGGACGTGTATTTACTCTACCAGTTATAGCATGGAAACTCGACAAAAATAAGTCAAAGATTTGTTCTGTTTGCACAACAGATCAATAACATTGGTGACTTGCTTGTTAAAAGTTGTACATTTCTAAGGCCATTTTTACCTCTCTTCTTGTCTTTTGGTGGCAGTACTGCAGCGACAGTGAAGATCTGTTTGGTGAATATGACAGCATCCTGGAGGATACCTCCATCCTTGCAAAGTTGGTGGAAGCAGAACAACATGAAAGACTGCGATCAGAGAACCTGCAGAGTTTCAGGACTCTGCAGCCTTCTGCAGACCCCATGTCCCAGTCCCCCAAGGGCCCACTCACTGACTCGGTGTTCCATGAGCTGGAGGACAAGGTGTTTGAGGACCTGCCACCCAGTCAGCTGCAGTTTCAGGAACAAATCCAAGATCAGGCAAAGAAAAGCAAGATGCAGGTTCAAAATAAAACCTCTACGCCTTCTCACACTGAGGCTGCAGGAGAAACAAACTGTGAGGATGGAAGCAGGAAACACAGCAAGGCAAGGAGGAGTGTGGCAGACGTCCTGAAGAAGACCATGCTGGGGAACGCAGCGACTCCTGTCGGTGTGTCTCGGACAGCGTTGCTGAAGGAGGCGGTTATTTCTGAGGAGATCAGTGTCGCCATGCAGGCTATGGAAAACGTATCAGCTGAGACTCCAGACTTCGGGCCATTCTTTGGACTCCCTAGCAAGGTCAAAGAGCTGATGCACAAGCTGAGAGGAATCCAGAAGTTATACGGTGAGAATAGTGTTAATCAAGAGAGTCACTGTAGCATACTCATACATCACTGAAATACTGACACTTTTCAGTCCCTCTGGTTCATTTTTGCCAGGCAGATGAAGATCTTTGATTTTTCAGAATACTCTTGTAGAGGTTCACATTTCCAGCAGTCTGCAGCAGAAACTTATGTATTAAAAGCTGCAAGAGGGATTTCAGGGTGCTACTGAGCTCTATATTTAATGCCTCCGATTAGCTACAAACTTTACAAAATAACATAGCATCTATCAGCTGATCTGCTTTTGTGTGTCAGACTGGCAGGAGGCGTGTCTGAACCTGGAGTGTGTTCAGCAGAGGAGGAACCTGATTTACTCTCTTCCTACCAGCGGAGGGAAGACCCTGGTGGCAGAGATCCTCATCCTCAGAGAGCTGCTGTGCAGGAGGAAGGACTGTTTGTTCATCTTACCGTACATATCACTGGTGCAGGAGAAGGTACTTGAACACACCTGCTCATTTCTGGTGAAAATGGCACCTGCCACAGTTCCAGTATACACGGGTAAAAAAAGTAAACACATGAGCTGGTGACTTTTAAGTTGATTTCTTAGTTTTTTAACCTTCAGTGAGCTCATAATGTAATAAGATCTGACAAATGCTTAAAGAATTAAAGCTCTTGACAGGAGTCAGATTCATCTTAGACTTTTGCTCTTTTTCCCCCAATCTGTGTTTATATCTCCATCGGGCTTTGCCAGGTGCGTGGGCTGGCTACCTTTGGCCTGGAGCTGGACTTCATGGTGGAGGAGTACGCTGGCAGCAAAGGCAAGTTTCCACCGGTGAAGAGAAGAAACAAGAGATCCCTGTACATCGCTACCATAGAGAAGGCCCACAGCCTGGTCAACTCGCTGATAGAAAGCAGCAGGCTGAACCACCTGGGGCTGCTGGTGGTTGATGAGGTGCAAACTCTTCTCAGTTGAGAGGCAGCTGAGGCGAAAAGAAGGAATCGGAGAAAGTTGACTGCAGGGTTTTTCCTGTTTTTTTGCAGCTTCACATGCTGGGTGATGGCAGCAGAGGGGCTGTGATCGAAATGACTCTGGCCAAGGTTCGGTACATGAGCAGTGAGTGGCTTCTTCTGTCAGACATGATCAAGTTAATTAATCCTAGTCCTCACTCAACAAGTGTTTTTCTTTGTTTATATTGTTGTTTGCTTTTTTTTTTTTTTTTATAACTGCCCCATAATTATAATGCAGTTGATGGAGACTAAATTCAAATTCTTTTTGTCCCCACAAACTTGATGAATGAAGTTGATTCTGATTGTAATCAATAATTGAATCTAAAGTACTTCTCTGTTTTTCAGAAGCAACCCAGATTATTGGAATGAGCGCCACCCTGGGGAACATCAAGGACTTGCAGATGTTTCTGGGGGCAGAAAATTACACAAATGACTTCAGGCCAGTAAGTGAACAGTGTAGAGTCTGAACAATGTCTCCGTCAGATCTCAGGATTGTATGAGTGCGTTTGACCAAAGTCAACTTGCTGTTGGTCTGTCTGACTAACAGCAATTGCCAACAAACCCAGATAACATGAACCTCTAGAAGCCTGACTCAGCCTTTCTAATCGAGCTTTTAGAGTTTCGCGTTGAGGGTGTGGAAGCCTAGCGAGCGGTGAGGCTTTTATACTTGATGTATAGGTTGGTGCAGTGCTTACAGAAAAGAGAGCCTTCATGGAGGGATCATATACAGGTGAAGCTGCTCTGCAGGAACATCTTCCAAATGGTTCCAAATAGAGCATGTGCGATCTGATCCAAGTTAGAAAAAATGGAGGTTCAGGTAAGTCGTAGTGTCAATCAGCAGGGTCAGGCCAACCCCAAAAACCTAGCTCAGTGTCAACTATAAACCTGTCTTGGCCTGTCTTTGCTCTCACTGTTAATGGTGTAAAAACAATCATCTTAAAATAAACAAACATCCTGTCGCTGGCTCCATGGACAGAAACAGTCAGTTTGGTTCTGTCGAGCAGTCTCTGCATTAGCTCCACTCTGCTGTCTGTTTCCAGGTTCAGCTGAAAGAATATGTCAAACTGAATGACACCATATATGAAGTTGACCCGAAGGAGGAAAACTGCTTCAGATTCTCCAGAATGCTCAACTATAAAGTGAGTTTGGCATTGATCAGATTGTGTGGAATGGGTTGTCATGGAGGAGTTATTTCTGCCATGTGACTGACTGGCAGTCAGCAGCATCATCTATGATGTAGAACAAACCATCCATGAAGGATTCTCAGTTTTTAGATCAAAGGTAGCAGGACGAGAAGAGCTGTGAGGTCGTCAGTAACGAGGTGAAACCAGATTCTCTCTCATTCTGCAGTACTCCAGCTCCATGCAGAAGATTGACCCAGACCACATCATTGCCCTGGTAACAGAAGTTATCCCTCTGCATTCATGTTTGGTCTTCTGTCCTACGAAGAAAAACTGTGAGAATGTTGCAGGAATGATCTGCAAGTATCTAAAGGAGTGAGTGAACTGCTCCACCTGTTTGTGCCATGCAGCCATGCATCCACTCGCTGCTGCTCAGACTTCCTGCTTCTCCCCTCAGAGACTTTCTGCAGCACCGTGAGGCTGAGAAGGCCGTCCTGCTCCAGGAGCTGAAGGCCAGTGGGAACGGCTCCATGTGCCCGGTGCTGAGGAGGACCGTGCCCTACGGCGTGGCCTATCACCACAGTGGCCTCACCGCCGAGGAGAGGAAGCTGGTGGAGGAGGCCTACTCCAGGGGCGTGCTCTGCCTCCTGGCCTGCACCTCTACCCTGGCAGCAGGAATCAACCTGCCAGCCCGCAGGTCAGATCAGCTTCGCTTCTCTACTTAAACCCTCTACAGCCTCCTGGGCTGCTGCACTCTAACTGACTCGCTTCATCTTTCTGCTCTTTGCACCTCTTCTGTTTTTATTCCATGTTCAGACAAGCACAGTTACCAAAGCAGCTTTTTCTGTTCATGTCCAGAGGCTCACAGTGTCTTTCCCAAGAATAGTGCCGTTATAGTGGCAGCAGGTTGGAGCAGCTCTGCTACCTTAGTTCTGCCCTGTTCATCATCCCTTTGGCTGAGGCGTTGCTGGTTTGGACAATTATTCCTGGATTTCAGCAGTAAATCAGCCCAGATTTCCTTAATGTTGGTAGATTGTGATCAACTGATGTTTTCATGTGAAGGCGATCTCATCCAACGAGCTTATCTACCTCAACAAAGATCTACAAACTAGACACTGTCCTCTTCTGCTCTACAGTGAGAGTTTTGACTGACATGCCCTGATGTTAGGTCGTCAGGTCATGTCTACATGTTTGCAGTCACCAAACTGGTGCTACCTCAGCAATGTTTTTGCTATGCTTAGCAACAAATCAGACAAAAAAATTGTTTCGGCAGGTCAGACTTCTTAAATATCAGCAATCGTCAATCAGCCACAAAGCTTCAATCGGTACAGTCATAATTATTTCCTCTGGTTTTGAATGCAGCAGGAAGGATCTATGTTCTTAGTTTTTAAATTTTGGTCAGTAGCTGCAATCTGTAACCATGACAATAAACCGTAGTCTATTGGTTTTACAAATGGGAGTCACTGATATGCATCTAAAAATAACACCTGAACTGACCCCAAATCGCACAAGAGTCTCTTCCATCCATCATAATGGGCAGGATCATATCCTGAGTCTCTGCCCGGCTTTCTAACCGGGCAGAGACTCTGCCAGGTTTGCTTATTCAGTTCTAGAGGAGCTGAAGAAGCAAAGGAAATGGATTAGCAGATCTTCCTAACAACTGATGGAGGCAGCAACAAATGTTACTGTGGCATTTTTTCCCTGCTGTCCAGAATTTGAGCTATTACTATGTCATAACAGTCAGGAGACTATCATACAGCAACAGTCTTCAGTCGGAGACTACTGCAGATTTGTTGTGAGACTGACTGCTACCAGGCATCCTTCCTGCCCACAGCATCACCATCCACAGCAATTCCTTGAGTTTATTTAGATTATATGAACTACAATACTTAATTTCCCTTTGGGATGAATAAAGTATTTCAGAATGAAATGTTTGCTTTCTGGCAGAAGGATGGCTCAGTGAACTGTAGTTTCAGTGGCGACTCAAAACTAAACGAAACAATAACAGGAATATTTCTGTGGCTGTCTTCCTGCAGGGTGATCCTGCGCTCCCCTTATGTGGCCACGGAGTTCCTAAAGAGGAGTCAGTACAAACAGATGGTGGGCAGAGCAGGCCGGGCTGGGATCGACACCATCGGGGAGAGCATCCTCATCCTGCAGGAGAAGGACAGGAGCATGGTAACGTCTGACTGCTTTTTATTAGACATGTTCAAACTTCTGTAAGGAAATATGGAAGAGCTGAAGCGTCGCCTGCTCTTCAAGTCTATCAACTTGCACTGGAACCTTCATATGCTTAATATTGTTGCTTCAGTAAATTCTTTATGGTTGCAGAGCTGTAAAACCCAACAAATAGTGGTTTTATTTTCAGGCCAAAGAGCTGGTGTGTGCCCCCATGGAGAGCTGCTATAGCAACCTGATGCAGGACGATGGGAAAGGCATCCTCAGTCTGATCCTGTCACTGATTGGATTAAATGTAAATGTCTCTCCTTTTCTTTCCTGTCTTTTCTTTTCTCTTTTTTTTGTCTGCATCTTAACACACACAATAAAATCACCTTGGTGCAGTTCTGTCTTTTCATTTTTCTTCTAAGGTCTGTTTGTGTTTCTCGTCAGCTGTAGTCTTAATGTCAGGAAGATGGGTGTCTGCATGTGAGCAACAGATCCAGAACATAAAGTTCCATCTCTAACCAGACATTCACCCAGAGATGTTGGCAATGAAGTTCTGATGACTTTATCTCCATTTAAGACTTTCTTGCTTCTTATTCTATATTTTGATCTGTTTTCCAGTTTGGATTTCTGCGTTCCTTAGAAAAGAGGAAGAGGTTGAGGCTGAGGTTCATGGTGTGTTTGTGAACTGTGTGGTGTTGCTGCAGATCTCCTCGTCGCTGCAGCAGGTGGAGCAGTTCCTGCATGGGACGCTGCTGTTTGTGCAGCAGCAGCAGCTGTGTGTGGAGCGCAGCCTGTGGGACACCGTCCAGCGCTGTGTAGCCACGCTGCGGGAGAAGGAGCTCATCACCATCACAGCAACAGATTCCCCATCGCTGCAGGTCACCAGACTGGGCAGGGCAGCGTACAAAGGTAAACCCAGACCTGGTCATCAGAAAACCGTTCTGCCTGCATCAGCACACTCTGAGGGGCGCTTAGATACACACACCAGCCAGGTGGACCATCATCTGATGTGTGTCGTTGTCCTGCAGGCTCAGTGGATCTGTCCTACTGCTCTGTTCTGTACAAAGACCTGTTGAAAGGTCTGGAGGGGCTGCAGCTGAGCAGCCACCTGCACCTGGTCTACCTGGTGACCCCCTATGATCTGGTCCCTCAGTGCAACCCTGACTGGATGGTTTACTTCAGACAGGTAGCCAGCCAGCCTCCATCAGACGTCGCTCAGCAGCCGGTCTCAGTGCTTCCTGCTGAGCGGCTGCTGCTTCCTGTCTGCAGTTCACCCTGCTGTCTGCTTCAGAGCAGAAGATGTTTGCTGCTGTCGGAGTCCCAGAGAGCTTAGTGGCCCGGAAGGCTGCAGGACAGACGGTCAAGAAGGTAACGGGGGTCAACATGTTACCACGCACTGAACTGAGGATGGTGAATGATGTGAGGCCCCTGGGGGTCCATGATGTCAGAGCAGGAGCAGGTGGTTTAAGCAAAGCCTGTGAGTAGGGAGAGAGGGAGGCCTGGGGATGAGCAGCAGCATTGGAGGGATCTAAAAATATCACATGATAGTGTTAGTTAATGGGAAGACAACAGCTGTCCGATTTGTTTAAATGATGCTCACATAATATCATAGTTCAGATAAGCTTCCAGGGAAAGAGTGTTAGGAAATGATCCTGAAATGATGAGGATATTTCAGAAGATCCAGTAGATTTGCTTGAATTCAGAATTCTCATCAAACTACTCCTGGAAGAAGGTTGGTGATGAAATTCTGGGGTAAATAATCAATGGTTCACTTATTATGGATCATAGGTTGTATAATAGAAATAGGGATATTGTCAAAGTTACTAACAGAATAAAAACAAGCAATAATTTGACCCATTTAAAGTAAAGGAAGAGGTCGATCTGAAATGTGTGGTTACAGACACACTGCTTTAACTTCTCAGTGATGGAAACACCATGGACTCGATCTGAAGTCTGTAGTCTGACTTAGAAAAGTACAGATAATTAATGAGGTTGTAATTGTTGGATTATTTGAGTTTAATCATCTGCTTTCCAGACAGAATGTTAGGAGTAGTCATTAGGAAAAGGAGCAGGATATTCTGGTGTATACTGTAGAAAATGGGGCACCTCAGGGCAGTGTCTGGAGTCCATTGATATTTGATATAATTTTTTTATTTTTATGAGTCATTGTGGAAAAGAATACAGGACCTCTGTAATCAACTAGGAACAGTGGAAGTAACAAACTTTTTTCCAAAATATGAGAGAGGTAAAGTTTGGATCACGTTACAGTGTCCAAGTCAAAGTAAAGACCTGAGCCTAACTGTGAATCTTTATCCAAAATGAGCGCTTTGCACAGAGGAATGGTGTGTAGCTGTGTTGGCTGCCTGTCTGCGTTGCAGAGCGTGGATCTGGTGGCAGTGAAGCGGATGTACCTGGCTCTTGTCCTCTTCTCCCTGCTGAGGGACACAGACGTGTGGGCCGTGGCCGACCGCTTCCAGCTCACCAGAGGCTTCATTCAGACTCTGCTCAGCTCCGCCTCAGCCTTCTGCTGCTGCGTGCTGCACTTCACCGAGGTACCACCGCCTCACTGCCACAGCTAGCATGCTAGCACATCATTTGTCTAACATTTGTCTTGGTGATGCGTTCAGGAGCTGGAGGAGTTGTGGCCATTTAAAGCTCTGCTGCTGGAGCTGACCCACCGCCTCAGTTACTGCGTGAAGGCCGAGCTCATCCCTCTGATGGAGGTGGCAGGAGTTTTGGAGGTCAGGACCAGCTGCTGTCTTTGGAGGCCCGCGCCGTTCTGCCATGGCTTTACCTAGAGGCGCTTTGCTGACGTTCTCCTTCTGTGCAGTTCAGAGCAAAGCAGCTGTACAACGCTGGGTACAGGACGCTGAGCCACCTGGCCAACGCCGACCCTGCCGTCCTCTGCAGAACACTGGAGCACCTGTACCAGAAGCAGGCCAACCTGATGGTGGCCTCAGCCAAGGTGAGGGTCCCTGTGGAGCCAGGCTGAGGCTGCTCAATCTGGAGCAGAGTCCCTCTGCTTCAACGTCAGCCTCAGCTCTGTAGGCTAGGACAGCAACAGGGTGGTGTGTGAAGCTGTGATGGTAACCTGGCTGTGTCTGTCAGATGATGCGTTTCTGTCTTCCAGATGCTCCTGAATGAGAAGGCTGCAGCTCTGCAGGAGGAAGTGGACGAGCTGCTGACCCTGCCTGCAGACCTGCCGCCACAGCAGCTACTCTGAAACACAACGTCTCAATGCTACATTCAACTCTTGGCCTGTTTTTCATAGGGGTTTTTTTAATCTTAGATTTTCTTATTAAAATATTAGGTCATACAAACTCTGCTCTGTGCTTTATAATCTGCTGCAAGAGCTCCCTGAGTGGAGGGAGCTCCACTCAGGGAGTGTTTCAGGATCATTCAGATGAATTTCAGCTCAGGCTGCTCTCATAAAAGCTAAATATGCAAAAAAAATTAACATATAGCGAGATGCTTTTTGCGAATGATGTGGTCCTGTTGGCTTCATCAGGTCGTGATCTGCAGCTCTCACTGGAGCGGTTTGCAGCCGAGTGTGAAGCGGCCGGGATGAGGATCAGTGCCTCCAAATCAGAGGCCATGGTCTTGAGCCGGAAATGGGTAGAGTGCCTTCCCCGGGTGGGGGGGGGGGGGGGGGTGTCCTGCCCCTATTGTAGGAGTTTAAGTATCTCGGGATCTTGTTCACGAATGAGGGAAAAAATAGAGCTGGAGATCGACAGGTGGATTGGTGCAGTGTATGCAGTGAAGCGGGCGCTGTACCGGTCTGTTGTGAAGGCAGAGCGGAGTCAAAAAGCGAAGCTCTCAATTTACCAGATGATCTACGTTCCCACCTTCATCTATGGTCATGAGCTTTGGGTCATTACTGAACGAATGAGGCCACTGATACAAGCGGCTGAAATGTTTCCCTCTAGAGTGTCTAGTCTCTCCCTTAGAGATATGGTGAGAAGTTCAGTCATCCAGGAGGGACTCAGAGTAGAGCTGCTGCTCCTCCACGTCGAGAGAAGCCAGTTGAGGCTCGGGCATCTGGTCAGGATGCCTCCTGGACGCCTCCCTGGTGAGGTGTTCCAGGCACGTCCCACTAGGAGGAGGCCCCGAAGACCCAGGACACGCTGGAGGGATTATGTTTCTCAGCTGGTCTGGGAACTCCTTGGGGTTCCCCTGGAGGAGCTGGAACAAGTGGAGGGGGAGAGGGAAGTCTGGACCTCCCTTCTGAAGCTGCTACCCCCGTGACCCGACCCCGGATGTAGTGGAAGAAAATGGATGGATGGATGGATGGATGGATGGATGGATGGATGGATATAGCGAGATGAGCTTGTGCATTCTGTGCCTTTCTAGAAGTGATCACAACACATTTTATCACATTGCAACAATATTAATGTATTTTATGTCAGACCAACACAAATTAGAGAATAATTGTGAAGCGGAAGGATTTATTTCTTGTTTAATCACAATTGCGTTCAGTGTGTATAAACTCAGTATAAATGCAGCTGGTCTCTGATGGCCTCATAGGTTTGCTAGAGCAAACGGCATCATGGAGACAGTGAACCCAGCAGCTCAGGTTCTAACTGAGGGTCTTCCAGAGCTCTGCTCACTCCACCTAGTGGTGGGAACAGGGTGTGACAGCTGGAAACCCACCACCGTATGCTGGATAAAGGACAATGTTGATCAGAGAAGCCAGCGATGCTAAATCTGGAGGAGCTACAGAGATTCACCGCTCAGGAGTTAAGAGGACCATTCATCACAACACACAAAGAATCCTCAGTCTGTTAGTCTCTATTTGTTCTTATCTCAAATCATTATCGAGGCTGAAACTTAGAGGTAAATGAACATTTGGACCTTTTTATTTTGCATTTTGTCATTTATCTAGCAGAACGCAGCAGCCTGCAGTGGTCAGGAGGGACAGCTTTAGCCGTCCTTGTGAATTGCCTTGTTGCTGAAAATGTGCTATATACATAAAATTACCTTACCTTGTGACTGGTTCTGTAGATAGAGCTGCCTTGGATAAAAAGGGTGTCAACGTTAAAGCTTTAATTTATGAATTAAAAGGGGGAGAGGGGGCAGGGTGGAGGATTGCAATTACAATAATGCAATGAGAAGTGGACTAAAAGGTCCAAGATGAGGGGCACAATTAATTTAGTTTACTTCTATACTGAAGATCTTTATAAACAAATTTTTGTTAAATCCCTCAAGACTTTAGATAAGTGTTATGTTTCCTCTTTGTTCCTTTTAACTTCAGTACTTTATAAAGAAGCACCTTCTCCTCTGCACATGGTACCGATTAAATACCCAAATACCAACCAGTTGAACCGTGGCAACTCTTAATGCCAGAGCTACTTTCTACTGCAATTTCAAACCTGGACATTGATTCCATCATTTGATAATTGTATATATTTGTTTTCTTGTCCATTGCAGCAGGATTTGCTAATTTGTTTCTTTTTGAGTTTCTGAACATGATGCTAAAGCATCAGCAAGCTGCAGTCTTCATTAGGACAAACTTCTGTTGCTCTGCCTTTTAATCTGGCCGTTTGGGATTTTCTTCCCGTTGGTATAAAGGGATTGACAAAAATTGAGGACATTGCATGAAATTCAATGCGAGTTAAGGAAAGCACAAAACAGGAGTGAACAGCTGACTCAGCCAGGCAAAGCAGGCGCATTTGATGATTCACTGGATGAGCATCAGCATGTCTTTAATGAAAGTGTGAAACAGCTTTTAGAGTTATTTCCTTTAACTACAGCTGCAGCTGACGGTTGACTAGAAAAGCCAAACTTGTTGCCTGACAACATAACGTCAAAATGAAACTTGTTGCCATTGGTAACGAAAATCTGTTTTCCCTGGCTCTGGCATCAGCATCACCACGGTGGGAAACAGTCCACTGTGCAGCTTTCAACTGCACATATTCTGTAGTGATCCTTAGATCTGGAAGAGAAAAAGCAATCCCAGAGTTGGAGCCCATGACCGGCCGGGGCGTGGGGGACGGTCAGAGGCCGGTCCGAGTTCTCAGCCCGTCCACCAGCTGTCTTCCTCCAGCAGCAAACTTTCACTACAGCTGTCTATGATCTCACTGCTGGGCCATTTTATTCACATCCAGCCACAGTTTTCTTCACAGATGTAAAAAAAAAAAAAAAAAAGCTGCTGCTTAAACCCCCACCAGGAACCAGGAACAACTTCAGAAGGTTTAGAGAAATGAATGTGGCCTTGGATGAACAGTGACACATGAAACTATCTGACCAGGTTTTATCACATCAATTATCTCTACTCAGCAAATAGGAATCCAAAATGCAGGACCAGTTAAAGGAAGCCCACTGCATCATTCCACTGCTTAGATGCAACGATGGGGGTTTGGAAAGATATACTTGATGCCTCTTGGAGAGGAGATTCCTTCTTATACCAGTTTCTCACATCCCATCCTGTTTTACAGTCGTTCTGCTGCAGAGCTGCTGCTGTGTTTTGGATCATTGCCCTGCAGATGCACCCAGTTTGGGTTCAGTTTTAGCCATTGGACAGATTACCTCAAATCTGACTCTGGAGTGAGATGTGCACAAGAGAACCTCAATGAACTGGGTCAGAATTCCTTTACAACACTCCAACAGACTGTTGGCTGCAAGCTCTCACTTCTCATGCTGGTTTTCAGAAGCTATGGAATCTTGAGGTGAACATAACATTTTTTCACATTCAGCTTGAGCATTCTGGCTTGATTTAATAATGTGGAGCTGAGGTTGTGTTTACAGCAAAATGAAAAGTAATAAGGAACATATCTAGTTACTGTTGTGAAGAAGAGTTTTCCTCTTTTGACCTGTGCAAAACCAAAATATGCACTGATGGTAAAATGGAGAATTGCATTAAGTATTGACCAAAGCTGGTCAAACATCCAAACAAATGACTGAAGGTAGCAGATGGAGACTGCAAGGACCAACTCAGGCATGAACTCTTACCAGGGCCGTGGAAAAAAGACAAGCCACTGGAAAAGTCTTACAATAATAATACAGCCAACTTTTATAGCATTTTTTCAGATACTCAAAGACAAGTATGGAGAAGTTCAGCTGATTCTAACAGGCTGTAAGAACTCCCCATCCCAGAATGCTTTGTCTTTACAATAGGCTTTTGTGATTTGTTTTCTGTTCCTCCATGGCTGGATGTCAGAAATCCCTCCCAGTCCTGCCTGTGTTGAATAAAAACACAGTTCCTTCACAAATAAAAAGCAGTTTTATCAGTAGTAACTTCCTCTGACTTCACTTCCAATCTAATTGTTTCCACAGACAGTAGCTTCATTCAGAGTTTCTGCTACACCACCTCTTTACCCCAAACTCAGAAGTGTTCTTTGTTTTCCACTCAGCCAACAAGTATGAAATGCTAAGAGAGGGAGAATTAGCACATCTGGATTCATGACTACACCCCGGGTCTCCAGTTTCACTTCCACCATTAGGAGCAGGAAAAGGGGGTTATGGACCTGAGACCTGCGAACGTTCACGGTTGATTTAGAGGGTTCGGCTTGTGTAACGCCAGAATTCCATCTCATTCCTCACGGGTCTCTGCAGCCCTGTCTGACAGGCTGGAGGAAAAAAAAACTTTGTGCACACTGAAACAACCATTGTGCTCCGATGCTGCACACACACCAGCAGCTGTGTGTATCGGCAGGAGAGGATTATAAAAAGGCTTCAGTGTTTGGCAGAGCTCCAGTCTGTGAAGATCCTTTACCCTGGGAGAGACGGGGAAGAGGCATGGGGTGGCCGCTGCATGTCTGCTCCGTTACAACCTCAGACAAGAGGCGACAGAGTGACCTCTTCATTTCAGACAAAAGGGAGGAAACTCTGTTTGGGCTGTGTGTGTTCAGATGGAGATAAAATTCCTGAATAGAAACCAGAAGGACCAAACAAATGTATAAAATAACAAGCAGAACAACATGACTGGTATCCATGACAACTCCAGATGTTTTCAGCTCCATCATGTTCTGGTTCAAAACACCCACTAAAAGGTTTGGAGGACTTTTGATCAGAGCTTTGCTCCCCTGAATATTGGCCTGTCATCACCATCAAATGTGAGCTCATGTACACCAGGTGGCCCTCCACCCCCCCACACCAATATCATTGCCATTTGTGCCCATCCTGTCTTCCTACCCTGGATAACAGTGACTCAGCAGGTAGGAGTTCAGCCTGTAACCGGTGGGTTGCTGGTTCAAACGCTCCCTGTCTGACTCATTGTTGTGTTTTTACCTTGTCTGCTGGTGGTGGTCAGAGGGTCTGGTGGTGCTGTGTTGCCTCTGTCAGTGTGTCCCAGGGCAGCTGTGGCTACAGTGTAGCTCACCGCCATCAGTGTGTGAATGAATGACTGAATGTAGTGTGAAGTGCTTCAGAGTCATCTGAATTAGATCAAGCATTCTACAAGTACATCATTTACCCACCTTTACATACTTCAAATAAGGAACTACCAAAAGTAAAGAGTTACAAAAGATTACATCTATTTAAAACAGTCTTTCTAAATCCTGATCTTCAGGGAACACTGCCCTAGAGGAATTCTAGTCAGAATTCTATTAAATGTAACATTTCTATTTATTTAGAGATTAAAGGAAGTGCCATGTTTCATTGTTGGAAAATCTAGTTTTATAGATATGCTAACAGTCATAATGAAATGTCTAGGTCAAAGGTGGACAACATCTAAACCATTCAGGACACCAACCAATAAGAAGTGACTTTGAACACCACTTAGTTAGCCAATCAGCTCCTTGGGTCCCATACGTCCTCCTCTGACTTTATACCAATATTTTTAAGCAAAATATTGGAGCATAAATTAAGGTTAAATCTACCCAGAACATCCTATTGTTTTCAGCTGCCAATTATGCTTTTTATAATGAAGATGTCCTGGTAGTACTTTAGACCAGTTTTAACCATATGCTTGTTATTTTTCAGGAAACACCAATTTTTTGTATTTTACTTTTTTTTATATAGTGGTTTCCATTTCTAATTTCAGCAGAAAAAGGGAAAAATAATTATTAAAATCATACTGAATCCTAAAAACCCCCAGATTTTTAAGATCTTCTCATTTTAATAATAATATGTAAACTATAACTGGCAGCAAACTGTGACCTCATTTCGAAATGTAATCTGTGAGAGGCCAAGCTGCACAAAGAGCAAACAGGAGAATGTTCAGGAAGAGAAGAGAGCTAACAAAGAAACACAGAGGGTGAGTTACGAGGTAATGCATCCTAATTGCCGCCAGGCTGCTCTCTGCATGGGGCCCCAATTGAATTGTGAGTGGGACCAGTAATGGCTATGTTTATGTGCTCTTTGTCCTGCAGCAGGACATATTTGTGCATCTTGCTGCATGCTGCACCTCCTCAGTGAGGCAGCTCTCAGATATGGGCAGCAGGATGGGCTGATACGTCTCTTTTTGATAAAAAAAAGACAGCTGTGGAAAAATGTCAGTAAAAACTAAGAAGTGCTGAAACTTTTAAAAAATCTTTCCTTTGAAGACATAGAGCCTAGCGTCCCTACTACCAACCTAAGTCTTGGAGTTTGGAAATCTTATTGAAAATTCCTAGTTCCACATTCTTGTAAACATTTTTCTACAGATCTTCAGTAAAACGTCTATGCTGACTGAGTGAGGGAGCTCCAGGGAGCTGATGATGTAAAGAAAGTTGTGATTTGAAAATATTTTTTTCTTTTCACTTTCTGCCTTTCAGGAATTATGAACATACGCTCCCCTGCACCTCATGAATGGTCTCATTTGGCCATACAAACATAGCACTACATTTACCATTTTTTACATTTCCTACATATTCATTCAGACATACAAAAGTTTAGTTGTAAATTACCAAACAATATAAATGTTGTTAATCTTAGATCATATAATCTTAACATTAACCGGTTTTTAAAATGTAATTCTTCTCCCACTGTCTGCAATAGATGAACTGAGTCATTTCCAAGACAAAATACTTCAACGGTATTCGCAAACATAAATTATGGAAATTTTACAAATGTCAATAACATGCAAAAGAAACATCACTGGTCCCAGCACTGAACCTTGGGAAACCCCATATTTAGCCTCTTTGAATACCTAAGTTTTTATTGAAATCTACTTCACCAATATAGTGCAAGTATAATGCTACTCCTCTCCTACTATATGCTTGTTTTTCTTTTATCATATTTTAAAATCAACAACTTCCCTCAGATCAGATCTACCTAAAACATATTCTGCATTATCTGTAATTGTTATTGTCTTTACAAATTCCATGAGTGCAAAGTTGTCTATTCTTGTTCCTGTTCAAAATCTGCTGTTCTCACAGAAAATTATTTTTCTGAATCAAAATATACGTATTTTATTTTATTTATTTTTTATTTTATTTTTTTTTGCAGTATTCGTTTTAGGAAACTTAAAGAAACAAGCCTGCATTTACTGTAGTGACCTGCGTCCTGGTTGGTGTTACTTCAAACTACTTCACAGTCACGTAGGTCATAAGGTCAGAAAAATGTGTAACTGCTGCTTTAAACTCGAAAGGACATTTTTTCCCATCTAAACTCCTCCTCTCCTCCTTTCTTTGCCTCCTTCGCAAACAAACAGTACCAACCTGTTGGCCCTGATGTGGGATCAGTTTAGTAATCTGTTCCTCAGCACGTGGAGCCGTGGATCCTTCGCTGTGCTGCTCTCAGATCAGTACCCCTCTCCCCTACACTTATTCCCTCCCCACGCGCGCTCTGATCCGACAGCAGCTCCACTCCGCAGCCTTTTCCTTCCACTTCCACTCCACTTCAGAGACGCCAACCAGGCTGGCTGTTCCCACGCCTCTGCACCCTTAGAACAAGCAATCTGTACGGGAATAAACACGGATTAAATCACTGTTTTGGGGATTATGCTTTTTCCAAATTGGACTACAGATGCGGGAATTTAATCAGAAGGAGCCTCGACTTTTTCCAGTAAAGTAACCGTGCAGCAGAAGTGGACGTAAACTTTTTTGGACTGGGCTCGGTTTTATAATGTCAGGGCTTCTGAGTGTGTTATGAGTGGCTTTTATGATTTTTTTTTCATTTCTTATGAGAGCTGTGTTTTATATGGACGGTTTTCCAAGTGAAAAAGAGAGAGAGACTTCCACATCTCAGGAATTCGACGCCAGGAACTGAAGGGTCCGTGAACGCCGCAGGTAGCTAGCTAACTTGCTCGAGACTTTTAGGATTGTTTCAATATCTCCTGATAGAGGTGAGAAACATAATAGGCCTAATTGTACTCAAATTAAGGCTCTGGGCTGTTCGGCACACAGCTAACGTGAGCTAAATGCTCTGTGTGAGCTTTTCCAGGGTCGCATTTTGTTTAAACCAACTCGGGTCTAGTTCAGCCTCCACCATTAGCCTCCGCGGCTAACGTCCCAACATGCCGCAGCTGGGCAGAGACGGAGACGACCTGGGGGCTAACGATGAGTTGATCGCCTTCAAAGACGAGGGGGAACAGGAGGAGAAACCCAATGTGTCCTCGGAACGGGACTTGGATGATGTCAAGTCGTCCCTAGTCAACGAGTCGGAGACCACCAACAGCTCTGACTCGGAGGTGAGTTGAGCAGAGGTCCGTGAATGCTTCCCACTGTGCTCCGGGTGTCTTCATGCTGCTGTGGCTCTGTGTGCAGGCAGACAGGCGCCCCAAGCCGCATCCAGATGTTGAGAGCAGGGCCAGGCACGGCCAGCTGTTTCAGGAAGGTAGGTAGCAGCATGGCATTCCGGATTATGATGCTTCTAGCGGTAAAAATTATATGGGACTTCTTTATCAAAGCAATAGTTTATGCAGAGTCTTAGATCAACAGTTATGAGCTGCAGTTTGAAATTTGAACTAAAACATTGAGGATGCTAACAATTATTTTGGTCATGAATTATTCTATCAATTATTGTGAGGATGAATAATTTAATTGGAAAAAAATGGCCACATTCTGCAGATTTTTAATTTAACTATTTATGCCCATTTACATAAGATCAGTCATACATTAAAATATGAAAATATGCAAATAATGCAATTCATTTTTAAATAACATAATAAACATGTTATTGACCAAAATGCAATAACAGTATTCCTTTAGTCAACATTTGATGGTTTGTAGCAAAGGATGCATCTGCAGCTAAAAATCCTTCTAGCATCAACTCAGACCTTTCTGCTGGTCTGAACATCAATACAAAGTAGAGCTGATATGGTGGTTATCTTTGATTAATAATTCGATAGCAAGAGGTGCTTAATAAAGGAATATTATTTTTACAGAACTTGAAGGTAGGTCAAACAAAAACTGTTACTTGAGGAGTTTTGGGTTGGACAGATGTATAGATTAAGTTTTTTATCTTAAATGCAAAATATTTTTGTAAAGGTTTGCTCTTGTTCATTCAGCAAATTGCCTTTTTATGAGTCTCTATATTCAATTATTTAATTACTAAATTGATTGACAATCGCTTCAATAATCAGTTATTCACAATTAATTCAATGAAATGTTTCCGCCCTGAAAAACAAATTTCTCTGCTCACGTCATAGAACTTAGATATTTATACAGAATTTGGGCCTGTGCTTCTGACAGATTATGGGCATGGTTGGAGATGGACCAATCAGAACAGCAGATTGTTCCCTTATCAGCTCAGTGATCTTTGAGATATATTATATTTTTTGGTCAAATTTTTCTTTTATTTCAAGGTTATCCCATACAGATGCAGCATCTCTTCTTCAAGGAGGCCCTTACAAAATCTAAAATTAACATAAACATGAGTTTAAGAACTCCTGCTATTTCCTGCTAACAAATCCCAAAAAAAACAAAAAAAAAACAAAATTATAGCAAAATCTAGACTTATTTCATATGACTGAGGTGAAACTGTTGTGTTCACAGCCGAACAGATTTTAAAAAGAAACTGGAAGAAGAGTTAAAAGGAAAAGGCATCAGTTCATGGATGAGTTCAGTAGAAATCAGATAAAACTTAGGGACATGCTTTGATAACTAAAAGTTCGCCATCTTGTAATTCCTGTGTTTTCTAACTCTGCAGCTCACTTTCTCGAGCGTTTCAGTCTTTAGAAACAAACTGGCCTGAGCAGTCAGGCTTCAGCACAAACAGGAAATCGGCATCAGCTAGGAAAAGCCTGATTTATACGTCTCTAGTTTACACTTTTCTATTCTTGTTAGGCTTGAGAATCTTTTTGTCATTTTGTTCAGCCCTAAACCTTCTGGGCCATATTGTACCATCAACTCCTGCTGTTGCCACTCTCTAGACATTCCTCCAGAAGAAAGTGTGAATATCCTGATTGATCCAGGTGTAGACAGTCAAAGCTCCGGGGATCGTTGATCATCGACTGATTTTTGAATGAATTAGAAATGTTGAATGGGTTGCTGCATTTCTGAGGCAGCAAACACACAATTCATTTAAAATTTCTTCCACCTTTCCAGAAGGTTTGAAGTGATTCTACATAAGTGAGCATAGTCATGGTGACAGAGTCATTACTTTTGGCTGAAACTGACAGCTTAGAAAACATTTTCAGCACAGCATCTCTGGTTAATTCTCAGACATCTAAAACATTAGAAGGAAGCGCTAGCATTTTTGCATTCATTACCTGGAAGGCAAAATGATGATTAAACATTCATTCCTGTTGTCATTGTCATTGAATCTTAGTCCTAATTGACGTTTTTATGTTTTTTCTTTTTCAAACATCCATTCTATAGTTAGTCAAACATACAAATACAATGGTTTGCAAAAGTATTCATAGCCTTTGAACTTTTCTATATTTTGTCACATTCCGACCACAAACATCAATATATATCACTGGAATTTAATGTGAAAGACCAACAGAAAGTAGTGTACAACTGTGAAGTGGAAAGAAAATATATGATTCAAGACTTTTTAGTTTAAAACAGTCTTATGCTATAAAAGGATTTCCCAAGCTTTCAACATCTCACTGTTCAATCCATCATCTGGAAATGGAAAGAGTCTGGAACAACTGAAAGCCACATGAACTTCCAGGCCGAACAAGCAGAGCTCTGATCAGAGGTGCAGCCAAGAGGCTCATGGTGACTCTGGACCAAATGTAGAGATCCACAGCTCATAGGGGGAGTCTGTCCACGGGACAACTATTAGTCATCACTGCACACATGAGGTCTTCATGGAAGAGAGGCAAGGAGAAAGCCATTGTTAAAAGAAAACCATATGAAGTCCCGTTTGCAGTTTACCAGAAGTCATGTTGGACACGGCAAACGTGTGGAAGACGGAGCTTTGGTCAGACCAGACCTAAACTGAACTTTTAGGCCAAATTGCAAAACTTTATGTGTGGAGGAGAACTTACACCGCACATCACTCTGAACACACCAGGCCCACTGTCAAATAAGGTGGTGGCGGGATCATGGTTGGCTGTAGCTTCTCTTCAGCAGGATCGGGGAAGATGGTCCAAGTTGATGTACAGATGGATGGAGCCAAATAAAGGAAGAAAAAATATTGGAGTCTTAGGGCTGGAGACTTTGGTGAAGGTTCAGCTTCCAACACAACAAACACCCTAAACTTAAAGCCAGGGTTACAATGGAATGATTTAACACAAAGCATAGTCATGTGTTAAAACGGCCCAGTCAAAGTCCAATCCTAAACCCAATCCAGAATCTGTGGCAAGATCTGAAAGCTGCTGTTCACAAACACTCTCACAATGCATCCAGTCTGACTGAGTTTGAGCTGTTTGGCAAAGAATGGGCAAAAATTTCAGATCAAGCCCTGAAGGCTAGGAGCTGCAATAGCAGCAGAACCTGGTTCACAGAGGATTGACTCAGGGGGCTGGATACTTCTACACACTGCACTTTTCATTGTTTTTTATTTGTAAGAAATGTTTTGAATTATAATTAAATTTTCTTTCTACTTCACAGTGGTAGACCACTTTGTTGGTCTTTCACCTGAAATCCCAATGAAAAATATTTGTTTGTGGTTGTAATATGAGAAAATATAGAAAAGTTTAAGAGGAATGAATACTTTTGCATGTCACTGTCTGTCAATCAGATATGGTGTTTCTAGACCCAGTGTTTCTGGGTCTAGATTTAATGGAGACTCAGTTTCCCAGAAGCCCTGTTGAGTTATTGTAGCAGTTCCCCCAGCTTAAGGCTGATGTTGTTCCTCAGGGCCCCGGAAGCAGCATGACACGGGCCTCTTCCAGCCTTCTCCGTATGTTGGCTATCCCTTCTTTATGATCTCGGACCTTGGGAACCTCTGCAGCCCCTACCTCACTAATGGAGCTCTGGCCCCAACCGGCCGGACGGTAAGTCAGCACCAAACACTGATCGGCATCCTGATGGCCACACTGCTTCATTATGTCTCTTGTTTGGTTGTTTGTTTACTATTTGTAGACAAACTCTAAAAAAACCCATACATTTTCCTTTACAGTTTAGTTAAACACTTTATTCATCCCAAAGGGAAGTTAAAGGCTGTCATAACTCATAAAGGTTCTTCAAAGAGTCGCTGTGCAGGGACAGGATGTCTGCAGCAGGCAGTGTTACAACAACTCTGAAAAGACCTCTGATTGAAGACTGTCAGTCTGACGGCTATCATGACCTGCTACTAGTTCAATATCTGGGCAACAGAGACAATATTCCACAGTGACATATTCTGGATGACAGTGGAAGCTTATTGCAGTTTTTCTTGATTGTTTACATACATTTTCTGAAAGGACGCCTCATACTCTCAGAACTCAACACACATATCAAAAACACACACACAAGGGGCAAATCCCTCCAATTCTCCTGCAAGATGAAACTTTACATTCAAAACAATGTTCTATCTTCTTAAAATTGTATATGTTTTTTTCAGATTCGCACACAGAGCCTCATATGATTAGACATAAGCACCAGCTGAACACTGATGTGCTCGGTGTAAAACACTCCATTCATCATAATGACTCAGTGTTACACTTACTGCACATAGTACATGCAAGTGTGTGTTTTAGAATATTGTTTTTATATTCGGAACACACAAATACACAGTAACAAATCTTATGTTTTCCATAAAAACAATTTACACATTGTACATCCCAACCAACACAAGGTTGCACATAATTTACTGTAAACTATAAAAGCAAACTATGCTGCCTCCTCTCTTCTGTTCGGGACTGACCTCACAATGTTGGACAAGCAGTAAAACATCTTGGCATGAAAAGCTACTGCTGCATCTTCCGTAGCTTGGAGAAGGACTAGGTGTGTGTGTGTGACAGGTGTTTGGCCATGTGATGAGCCTGTGCGCATAGTAGGGCAGTTGATTTAGGATTTTGAATGATAGCGTGTTCCTTGTGAAAACAAGAGATTTTCTTCATAAACTTGGTGCCAAATGCAGGAAATTGTTTGTAGTGTTTTGAAAAAAAGTGTGATTTACAACTGCAGTTTCAGTGTAAAGTAGGAATTATACTTGCAGAATTAGTTCAAGGGGTTGGTGCATGAGTTGCATGTTGTCATTGTGTCTCAAGTATCACTATTTATGTGTAAACAATCAAGAAAAACTGAGATAACCTTAAACTATGTGTGTGAACTTTTACGTTTTCACATTAAATCCCCATGAAACACCTGAAGTTTGTGCAGGAAAGGACCTGGAACATGAAGAAGTTTAAGCAGTTTGCAAGGTTCTGTCATGTGTGGATGTTCTGGCATGGCTGTGAAGTCCTCAGGGACCTGCTGGTTAAGTCTTATCAGAAACCGACGACACTAAAGGGTGGCTCAGGAAGCTGAAACCTGTAGTTGCTGCTTCATATTGCAGGGATATTATATTTTAGCAAACTGAGGCCCAGACACCACCGCCTGCAGGTCTGCTGTGTACAGTATGTGTGCACTGTGTGTGTGTTTCTGACCTGCCTTGTAATGGTGGCGTGTTAGACAGGCCTGGACACAGCCTGCCTGCATGCCTGCCTCCAGCAGGAATGAGCTCTGATTGCGTCTGATTCTCTGCTGCAGATTAGATGCTGTAGCTGCCAGGTACCAGGCAGGATTTGCAGAGTGTTGCTCAATTTCCCGTCCCTACAGCGTTTTGGAGGATAAGCTTGGATTAGGGGCCGCTGTCTGATGGTTTAATACATCTCTGCTCTCAGCCATGTTTAAATGTTGCCTCTGTGGAAGTGAGACAAGTTTCAGGATGTTTAATGTGAAGTGTTACAGCAAAGGAAAGTTTGAGTTGATGACCTCAGGGGAAAAGTTTAACTGAAGTTGTCAACTCACAGCTAAAGCCACACATGACGCTGCAGCTGAAGCTTTTAGACTCAGAGCTTCAGGCTGTCTTTCTTTTTCCTTTGCGTGTTTGTTTTGGAAGTCTTGCCTGTACTTATTTAAGCCACACACACACACACACACACACACACAGGTTAAACACACAGCCCAGCTTCCTCACACAAACACCTGCATTCCTCAGCTTTGTAGCAGCCATCCTTTCTCTTTCTGGCTCATTGTTGTCCGTCACAGAGTCTGAATGGTCTTTAAGCCCTCTGTGTATCCCAGCTGCTGGCTTTATCAGCCCGGTTTCTTTAATTTTTCTTTTAATTTTGGGTGATACTTGCATGTGAACCAACCTTACCCACCAATCTTTTCTACCACCACAAGGCTCTTTGAGGGCTGTGTATAACAGCAGCCTGTCTACTGTTGGCTACTCTACTTTTTTCTATATCTAGTTTTACAGAAACAAATCTCTAAAGGCCAAAATCAGTCAGGCTTTTTAAATATTGGTGATCAGTCAGAAACCAGTGCATTCCTACTTTAATAACAGCGATCAGTCTGCTATCAATAGCTATTGAAGAAGTACTTGAACGTGTCCTGAATATGTCTAGATATTTGACAGAACATTCCTAAAGAAAAAGTCTTGAAAATGTTTTCTATTCGTCTTTATTATTATGGAACTGTATTATATCACTTTAATAAATTCTTTTTTTATCGACTCTACATTTTTCTCTCCGTCTTTAACTATCATGGATGTATTACTAAGCTCAGTGTTATGCAGCCATGGGGGATATTTCCCCACTGACAGCTAAACCAGAGGGATGGCTGATTTGCTGCGTGTCAGGATCAGGGCACCAAGCTGGTGGGCCAAGTCACATTCATGAACTTCAGCACGTCAGACATCTTTGCCGCCTTGCAGACTTTTGTGACTTTTTTTCTGTGTGGTGTGTGTTTGATTGAGGGAGTGTGTCTACTCCAGATAAGGTTTGATTACTAAATTAGTTGATTATTTCAGTAGTGGATTCATTGTTTCCACTACTGGCCTTCAGCTCGGCTGTTTTCTTGGTTCTGGTGTTGGTGATGGACCTTCAGCAGGCCTCTGTGGGACGTGATGACACGCTGTCACTATCATTCATTCACTGAGGCCGTTGTTTCCTCTGAAGGCTACATTCAGCCTCAGAACCAGAGTTGTTCTGCTGTTTATCAGACCTTCTCAGAGAGGAGTCGCTCTCTGCCTCCTCAGACTGTTGGGAGTGTTTATGGAGGATGAGGAGATGGACCTGCTATCTCAAGCAGAGTCTTTGTAAACAAACCTCTGCTGGTTGCTCGCTAGCTGAACTATAATACAGACTGTTTATTGTGCTGATGGGTGCAGGCAGGAAGCAGGAGGCGGCGTACAGAGACGACCTGTCTGCTCACTTCGCCCTCCTCCCATAACGCCCCCCGTGTCCCCCGCCTCCTCCCCACAGCGCCGCACGCCCCTGCAGCTCAGGGACTCATCCGACAGGAAGAGCCTCAACACTGAGGGGCGTCTGCTCATCCAACCTGTAAACCTGCTCATCACTTAAAATGCCGTCTCTTTAGAAAACATGCTGGTCACATGTGGTCATAGTGACAGATGGGACAACAGGCGATACGAGTCTTTATTCCAGATAATGTGGCTGAAAGATCATAAACAAAATAACAATAGAATGTGACCTACAGTAAATGGCTCTGGACTCTCAGAGAAATGATTCCTCCTCATTTTTCCACTCTGACCCCTGTTTTATCTCAGGTCATTGTTGCCTGATGCACACTTCCTTGTTTATGTTGCTTCACCACAGTGACACGCGACTCACACCAGAGCTAACAATGTTCAGCTGTATGTCTGAATTATTTGACATCTGACCTGATCTATGAATCATTTTTTGTTGATAGTTTTTCAATATTCTGCACAGAAAGTAGACGTGGCCGTTACAGCAGCATGATGGGCTGAGTAGTAGGGCTGCATCGATTTATAGTTTTCTGGCCAATCACCAATCTTTAAAAACCTGACCTGCCCATTCCTCCGATTTTGGCCACTGCTGATGGTCAAATACAAGATTACCTCATATTTTGGGGACTGTAGCACAAATTGACAAAATCTGGCATATCAAAATCTCCTGGTTTTTGAGCCATAAAAACTGAGATTATTCATCCATCTATTTATTTATTTCATTTTTTATTTAACCCCTCACACTTAGGTTAGCAAACATTGTTGAGGGTGAGGATTCTGTAAATCATTGCAGATCCAAAACATAACACAGGCCTATAAAACCCTCTATTATAATAAATGCAGTTTTTATTTGGAGGGCTGCAGATGGGGTAATGGGAGGATTGACTAAATTTTAGTTTTCTTTTGACTAAGACAAACATTAAACATTTGCTTTTTAGCCAAGTTGAACAAATTAGTCATACAGATTTGGGGGACCCAGGTCAGGATACACTATACTCTTTGCTTGGAATGGAGAGCAAACACAACTGATCCAGGGGCCACACTTTGGATACTCCTCATTTAGGGCCACTTGGTGGCATTCTCAGCCAGAGCTGACTCCCTTCTTCAGCTAGCTCCTCTCATGTTAGTGGTCGAACATCATCTCTAAATCTTTTCAACAGTGACGCCTTCCCAGAGTTTTACAGAGTCATAGATTTGACATAATTTTTTGCTAAAAATTAGAGATTTTAAATCTGCAAGCATCTGTCCCACTCTGAGCCATGGTAAATTGTCTGTAGTTGTATATGGTCATGTGCATGTTTAGTTTGGTTGTATTTACCCAGAATGCCTCGTCCGTCTCCTGTTTTTGGAGTGGCCACAAAATACTTTATTATTATTATTATTATTAGGTCTTGTAGTCAGGTTCGGGTTCAGGTTCCAGAAGAGGTTGCTGCTTCCTGCTGATAAATCTGTGACTTTTTCTGTTTCTGACTCCAGAGACATTTCAGTCACTTTCTGCTCCTGTGTGTGTTTAGATGCTTCCTCTTTGACTTTGGTCTCTGATCCGGTGGCTCAATCCATCTTCAGGAAACACTCCATTAGTGTCTGACCTGATAGACTTGGTCGAGGAAATCATTCTGACACTAGAGTCACAAATTCACTACCTAAGGCAGATCATCAGGATTTTCCAGGTTTTTCCCTGAACTCCTGTAGCCGTTCTCCGCTGGCCTCTCATTGGTCTGTTGTGGAGAACCTGAGCTGTTTGCGGCTCGTAACCAGCAGTAATCCCAACAAGTTTCCCCTGAGCTCAGATCCTTACCCGAGGCTCAGTAATGGGTTCGTAGTGTGTGTGTTTGAGTGGAACAGTGTTGTGGTGTTTCCAGCAGCTGGATCCAGTTAGCGCTGATCCTCAGCTTCCTCTGAGCGCTGAAGCAGGGGCCGGGCTACAGACCGGCTGTGTGCAGAGGCCGGTCTTGTTGCTCTTGTGTGTGTGTGGGGGCGGGGGGTCTCGCTCTTTCATGCCTAAATGTTTGTCTGACGTAGTTCCAGGACTGATGAGACTAACATAGTTTGGTGGTCTTGTTTCGAGTCCTGTCTCCTAGTCATTAGTCCAGAGATTTGAATTTGATGCTGCTGCCTCAACAGATGACTCAGAAAAGATGGCGCTCTCAACAACAGACTTATCCTTGAAGGATTTTAGCTTCCTCAACAAGTCCAGTCTGTTGTCCAGATGAACATAGAGGTATTTCTATTCCTCCACTTCTTCTCCCGTGATGGAAATAGGGTTTGATATAACCCTCCATGCCTCCATATGAGCTGCATGGAATACTGTGCATTTCTGGTCAGAGATTATGCTCTGATGGAAATCCTTACTTTTTTTTTAAATTAATTCCATTATCTCTATGATGTACTCTCTGTTTAAAGTGCAAAACATCTGCACCTAATGGTTGCCTAATGTTGAGGCGACTCCTGGAGATGATCCATACTAGTGGGCCATCCTGCTCAGTGTTTTAATTGTAGTAACTTAGCCAAAACATAACAGCACAGCCCTGCCTCTTTCTCTTTTTTTGCTCTTGTTATTTGAGCTGATGACTCAAGCAGCTAAAATCTTCCTCTGTTACTTTCCAACCATGGTGAAAGCTGTTAAAGCATTTTCAGTATCACAAATCAAAAATCGATATCCCAAAATGTATAAATAGCTGAAAGTGTCGGGTTAGAGTCAGAAGGCCTCCCTGCCTTGCTTTGGTTTATCTTCTGTAAGTCAGAGTCAAAGGTCACAGTTGAGAGCCTGTAGGCGTCACTCACAGCTGAAGGAGCACCAAAGGGCCTTTCAGCAGACCCATCTCCACCCAGCAGCCTGTTCATCAGGACCATCAGCTCTGAGTTCTTATCTGCAGGCAGCTTCCTGCTGTGGAGGCTCAGCATCAATGAAGGGAGGTTGGGAGGGACAGTGGGGAATGTAAACAAGTGACAAATGAAGAGGAGAGGAGGACACTTAACCACCTTATCTTGTGTTAGAATCCCAGAGCCAATATTTGCTCGTCTTGAGGCTGGTCATTTAAAGTTCCCATCATGCCTTCTGCCTCTGCTCCCCACAAGTCGTCACCTTCCTAAAGTCTGCTTACCTCTGTTACTGGGAAGCCTGACAGACCCTTCCCTTTATGAAGTGGAATAATAATATTCACATGGTTTAACAGATCTGAAAAGTGTGGCTTGCATATACCGATATCTGAGTTATAGTATCAGCCAACAAAGAAAGATGGTGATTAATTGACTTAAAATGTTTTTTTAAAACAAATTCACACATTTACTGAATTAATTATTAATAAATTAATTTGATAACTCAGCACTAGTGCAGCTCACTTAAATGCATAAACATGTAAAAACAACTTTAATTTGTTCATTCAGTGCAGTTAGGAGTAGAACAGCCATCCATCCATTTTCTTTACACCCTTGTCCCTTAGTTAGGTGCCAATTAACCTGACATGTTTTTGGACTGTGGGAGGAAACCGGAGTACCCGTAGAGAACCCACACATGCACAGGGAGAACATGCAAACTCCATGCAGAAAGACTGGGACCGGGAATTGAACCCAGAACCTTCTTGCTGCAAGACAACAGCTCTACCAACTGCACCACTGTGCAGCCCGTAGAACAGCCAATGTGAAGTAATTAATAAAGAAAGCCTGTAACTGTTACAAAAACAACAGGTTGACTACTTTGGTCAAACATCTAAAAATAAACTAACAAATATTTCAAATGGTTCAGAAAGTATATTTAGGAATTCTAAATATAATATAAAATAAATAAAGCATAACGTCACTCAGAGCACAAAGCATAGAATTAGACTGAATAGATCTGCCCTTATGTATTGGAGACATTGTCCCTGATGCCCAATTTAGAATCGATTTAGATACAGATGTTAATATGGGATCAGTGCATTTATGACCCTCTGCATGTTTTGGGAGTGTTGCTGCAGCTGTCCTGATAGAGACTGAAGGTTTTTCTATTTTTCATTTTTTTGTAAAGCTCAGTCAAGGTGGACGGAGAGCGACTGTGAGCATCAATGGTGCAAGTCCTGCCACAGATTCTCAACTGGATTTAGATCTAGACTTTGATCTAACACAAGTAATCTTTTTGATCTAAACCATTGCTTTGTAGTAGACCTGCACCGACAGCAATTTCCTGGCTGATTACTGATATTTAAAAAGCCTGACCTGCTGATGTGTATTTTGACTTCCAATAATGACTTTTTTATTTTTTATTTTTTATTTTTTTTGCTTTTTGTTTTTGTCTGAATGTTGCTAAATGTAGCAAGAAAGTTGCTGAGTTAGCAAAAGTGGAGCGACTGCAACGTGCAAACATGACCTGGTGGGCCAGTCTGTCACTCAAACTTCTCTCACAGCAGAGTAAAAGAGGGCAGCAGCTGATTTATAGACCTGAGATCAGTAGATAAGATCAGCTTCACATGCAAGTATCTGCCGATCACTCATCTACCAACATTAAGGATATCGGTGCCAATTTATAATGGTGCACCCCAACTTTGTAGCTCTGTCGGTTAGCCAGCAATGGCTAAAATCGTCTGAATACAAAAGTGCACCATACCTTGACAATAAAACAGCTGATGGCAGCTTCTGTCTCCCCGCAGTACCTGCCTTTTCAGTGGCCTCTCCTCGACATCCCAGGAAGAGCAGCTATCAGAGATTCTGCTGCTCCCACACACCTGGTAAGACTCTCCCTCTATGCTACACACACACAACTTGTTGAATTTCCCACGTTTTTATGCTGCCATAACAGTAGAGAGGATGTGGAATGTTCAACAAACATCATGCACAAATAAGGTGTTCACTTTATCATTTACTTTAATCCAACATTCCAGTACTTTCTCTATGCCTGAAGAAGGCAGTGAATCTCCTGACATGAACTGTTTATTTACCAGTGAAGAGAAATGACTGAACTGTCAGCAAAAAATCTCGTAGGTTCAGTGTAACTTAACACTGAACAAATGAAAAATATTCAAATATTTTTCATTTTTCCAATCATTTGATATTTCTCTCTGACTGCAACCCAACTTCATCTATTATTATTATTATTATTATTATTATTATTATTATTATTATT